AAATTACCAAGGCATTCTTTCAAATTTTTTCAAATTCCATGCGTTTTCTTTCGAATTTCTTTCGAGCTTTCATTCTGATCACCAAAAGGCAAAAGCAAGCACACATTCAAATTGCCAAACAGACAGACTAGAAATTATCAATTGCATTCCTTCAAATTCTTTCAAATTCCTTGCGTTTTCTTTCAAATTTCTTTCGAGCATTCATTCTGATTCTGATCACCAAAAGGCAAAAGCAAGCACACATTCAAATTGCCAAACAGAATAAAAATGTTCAATGACATTCCTTCAAATTCACTGCGTTTTCGTTCAAATCTCTTTCGAGCATTCATGATCACCAAAAGGCAAAAGCAAGCACACATTCAAATTGCCAAACAGGCCTCCTGAAATTATCAATGACATTCCTTCAAATTCTTTCAATTTCCTTGTGTTTTCTTTCAAATTTCGTTCGAGCATTCATTGTAATCACCAAAAGGCAGAAGCAAGCACACGTTCAAATTGTCAAACAGGCCTGATATTATCAATGACATTCCTTCAAATTCTTTCAAATTCCCTGTGTTTTCTTTCAAATTCGAACGTGATCACCAGCGGCCCTCGGCTCCAAACCCTTGACCCCCAAGGCCCCAAGACTTGATGCAACCGAGCCCCGAACCCTTTAATTCTGGTCTGAACACTCAAGCCCCGGGAAGACCGCCCCCCCCCCCCCCGACCGATGGATCGTAAACCCGAAACGCCCGAAACCCCTAGACCCTAACCCTGAAACCGTCACCTCAAAGGCTTGGCTGCTGTCTCCTGCGACGGGGCCTTGGGAAATCAGTGTCAGCGGCAGTGCGAGTCACAATTGTGCGAGTTTCAGTGTCAGAGTCAGACAGAAGCCACTAGCACGTCATGTCATGTGCCATCAGCAGCGTCTTCAGCGTCAAAGTTGCGACTGTGATTCCTGGAGTCTTCATGTCCATGCCGTTGCCCAACATTCCATTGCCGCCTGTGGCGGCAGCCGGTGCGGGTTCCTGTCGTTCTGCAATGCCGCTTCCATCCTTGCCGCTGCCAGATTTGGATGTGGGCAAAGAGCTTTCAGCAGGGTCATCAGCGGTCCTGGGAGTGACAGTGTCAAATTTGCAGCCGTCGCCAATTCTGAAGAGGCCGGCAGGACCTGTGAAGAGGCCAGCCGCGAAGATTACGGCGAAGAAGGCCATGAAAGCCATGAAAGCCATGAAAGCTATGAAAAAGAAGAAGGGTGTACAGAAGCCGAAGAAGGGCACTGTGTGACCGTTTGTCAGTCAGCGGTGCCATTTTTCCTGTGGTCCTGTGTCGCATACATGCCTCCGAGCAGCGTCAAAATTGTCACAACAGACTGGGAGTGCTTGTCAGAGTCAGAATCAGCGGTGAATATATGTGTCCGCCGGTGTCCGATGTGCAGCGCAGTGCCATTTCCATGCTGAGATTGAGTCGAGTTTGCAGTTTGCGAAGAGCAGAGACCAGGGCAAGTCGAATGAACCGCAGCTGACTGAGTGTCCAAGTGCTTCAAGTGCCCAGCTCCTTTCCGGTCTCTTTTGTGATGACGACATGTTGGAAGGTGCTCCCAGCGGAGATGGTGCCATCGCTGGCTATGCGACTGGACCAGGACATCGAAGAGAGATTGGTGATGTTTACCTCGTTACAGAGCGCCATTGAGGCCCACCACTACTCCAGCAGGCGCTCGTTGGGGAAGACACCCACTTGCTGGATTCCGCGCAATGGGCACAATCTCTCGGTGCCTCACGACGGCTACAGCCCCATCCGCAGCCAGAAGGACATCCTGAACAAGGGTGACCACGACTGCTTGGTGGCGGTGTCAATTTTCGTGCAGGACATGCACGCGGCGAAATGCCAGCAGCTCCCCCAAGGCGGCGCAGCGTACGTGTTCAACAAGATCAAGATCGACAACTTGCAGGTGCAGTTCTACCATCTGGAGCTCCACGTAAATCTTGATGTTGACAGTGACAGTGTCACTGCTGACGATCGAGTTGCGGGGCCATGCCTGGCAGTGGAGAATGTACGTGATCAACATGATGGCCAAGCTGATGATGATGTGCCAGTGCCGCGGCCGCAAGCTGTACATGTATGTCGTGGGCCTGTTGTGTGTCTCGTCATGTGCAGTGTCAGTGTCACAGCTGATTTCAGACTCACATAAAAGGCATTGAGATCGCTGGATAGTGCGAGCACTCTGCCATGGGTTCGCAGTCCTCATTCTGATCCTGGAGACACTGCTACAGTTATTACGGCTTCGTGCCAGGAGTCAGAGGCCGCGACCCCTAGCAGAAAGACTTCTCAAACAAATCACTTTGTAGGGATGCCAGCAGCTAGGCAGCTGGCAGCTAGCACTGGCACATCTTAAGTAGCATTTCCTGCAGCGCGCATTTTGGCATAGGTGCCTGAAACCGGGTCAAAGCCGACCTTGAAGCGAAAGCGGCACCTGGAGCTGGAGGACGTTCCTACCATTGCTGTTTGGATTTAGGCCTCAGTGTCAGACTTGGCGTTGCCCTGTGATTGCTTGCAGGACGGCGGCAAGCCTCAGCCTGACGATGCGGAGGAGCTGGCGGAGCCGACCGTCGACAAGTTCATGGCCGTTTCGAACTCTCTGCACAACATCATCAAAGGCAGGCTGAACAGCCAAGGTGCCGTTCTGATCACGGTGTCGGACTTCAAAATCCGTGTTCACGAGGAGGCCTCGATCACGCAGGCGATCTATGATGGGATGAGCGAGCGCTTCATGCCTGCCTATGACTCGCCGGCCACGGCACTGCTGCACTTCGGGCTGCTGAAGAAGGCATCAGCCGTCAGTGTCAAAGACGAGCTGACGATGGGCGGCAGCAGCTGGCACGAAGCGGATGACAACAGTGTCGGTGCCGGTGCCGGCAGCGTCCTTGCAGAGGCAGAGTCGAAGCAGACTGTGGCATTGCTGAAGATCACTTTTGGCCAGACCACATGGCAGGCGATGCTGGATGCCGGGCAGGCGGTGCCGAACAGTGTTCCGTTTCGTCACTGGCGCATCTTGTGCGACATGCCCAACACGGACGGCTTCCGCAAGAGCATCCGCTTCTACAAGGCCAGCTTCGCCAACAAGCTTACGTCGGTGACGAACCTCAAGGACTCATCTCTGGCTCACCTTGTAGTTAACTAGGATGGTGCCCTGTGCTAGATTCTAGTTGTTGAGATGCCATTACCTATAAATTGGGGTTGGCACCCCTGGCATGCTGGTTGCCAACCCCTGGCATGCTGGTTATGCTGGTCGGCAGCCAGGGCATGCTTGTTTGATTTGGTATTTAGAACCAAGAACTAGAACGAGTTAGCACCCAGGGCCTGTGAGACATGTGATTCATTGGGGCTGGGGAGGCTTTCTTTGCCCGCACTTCGGGAGCCTTGGAAGGATTGGCTGGAGAGTTCCCAGAAGATCAGCGCGGACTTCAGGCAGAAGGATGCTTCTTTTAAGACCTCCTGGGCGGAGCTCATGAAAACTCTGGAGAAACCTGAGAAGCCATGATCCGCGATGTTGCATCAATCGTCAGAGTCACTCCTTCGCACAGATATATGTTACGAATCAGGAAGCAGGCGGCAGGCGTTATTCGAAGTGCAGTGTCAAAGTGGGGTTTACGAATGAACGAATTCAGGGGCGATTCAGGGGTACAGCGACCTTGGACTTAGACGTGCTGCTAGAGCCGTAAGGTTTGGTGTATCTCTGGGCCGTCGGAGTGTTTCGCTGTCGCGCAACATCGCGTCGCCAAGCGGCATGTTTTTGTGCTGCCCTGACCGTTCGATTGAGCTGTATTTCGCAATGCTGGTGCGAATATCAGAAGGCCATGTTCCATCAGTCCTCAGAGTCACTCCTTCTCACAGGCCACAGGCCACTGTTACATTACGAATCAGGAAGTCAGGAACCAGGCATTTCTCGAAGCACAGTGTGGAAATGGGGTCTACGAATTCACCGGTACAGCATTAGGGCTGCGAACTTAGACTCAGATGTACTGCTACAGCTAGAGGCGTAATATTGGTGTATCTGTGGGCTGTTGCGGAGCATAGCCAAGCGGCAAGATTTTGGATGTCGTGACCGTTCGAGCTGCTGACCCGGCTGCAGAAACATCAAATGCAGTGCCAGTGCGAACGTGGAGGGGCTTGCCGGCCATGGAACTGCAGTGCTGTCAGTGCTGTCGTAGCGTAGCATTACAGTGCAGAGCTGCATCTCTTTCATTTCTGGTGATGCGTTGACCCAGGCCGGTGCTCCCCGAAGCTTGCAGATTCAGGGTGTGCGGTCCTCAGAGTTACCATCGCAGCCCCTCTACCAAGCTTCTACTACATAGGTCCGTGAGGGTTTGAGAAAGTCTTGGACCAATTAAGGTCTCATCGAGTCGTCGAAGGCGGCAAGCTCTTCGCCGGTAGCTGAGAAAGACAGTCGGATGTGCCGGAAACAGCTTCGGTTGCGGGGCGCGAGTGTTGGTAATGATAGCTCACCCACACCAACATGCTATGCACACGGACAAGACCCACACAAACCCTCCCAAAAGCCCTAAGCCCCCAACACCCTAAACCTCAAAACCCCAAACCTACGGAGGATCTTCATCCTTCCCAACCTTACCGAGCTTGCGGGCTACTGCTCGCAGCTCAGCAGGCCAGGATCAAAATTCATTCAAGAATGTTGGCTGTCGTAGCATTAACATGCGGAGCTGCATCTCTTTCTGGTGATGCGTTGACCCAGGCCGGTGCTCCTCGAAGCTGGCAGATTCAGGCAGATTCAGGCAGATTCAGGGTCAGGGGTCAGGGTGTGCGTTCCTCAGAGTTACCATCGCAGCCCGCCCCTCTAGGAAGGTTCTACTACATAGGTCCGTCAGGGTTTGAGAAGTATTGGACCAAGGTCTCATCGAGTCATCGAAGGCGGCAAGCCCTTCGCCGCTAGTCTAGGCCGTAGGCGGCAAGCCAGCAGAATCTGAGCAGAGTAGGCGGCAGGCCATTCGCCGCTGGTCTAGGCCGTAGTCGGCGGAGCAGAGTAGGCGGCAAGTCATTCGCCGCTGGTCTAGGCCGTAGTCGGCAAGTCAACCCATAGCCCATGGATTTTTTTGTTAGTTTTAGATACATTGGTACTCACCCGATTGAGGCATGAATTTCCGGGACAGTTCTGCTGGCTGCTGGAGCCTGGACCCTGGCACTCGAGGCGAGGGTTTCGGTTGAGCACTTCGGGATTGAAGGGGATTCAGTCTGCTCTCGTCAGCTTTGGGAGCTTCGAGTGCAGTGCTGTCAGTGCTGTCGCAGCGTCGTAGCATTAACATGCGGAGCTGCATCTCTTTCTGGTGATGCGTTGACCCAGGCCGGTGCTCCTCGAAGCTGGCAGATTCAGGCAGATTCAGGCAGATTCAGGGTCAGGGGTCAGGGTGTGCGTTCCTCAGAGTTACCATCGCAGCCCCTCTAGGAAGGTTCTACTACATAGGTCCGTCAGGGTTTGAGAAGTATTGGACCAAGGTCTCATCGAGTCATCGAAGGCGGCAAGCCCTTCGCCGCTAGTCTAGGCCGTAGGCGGCAAGCCAGCAGAATCTGAGCAGAGTAGGCGGCAGGCCATTCGCCGCTGGTCTAGGCCGTAGTCGGCTGAGCAGAGTAGGCGGCAAGTCATTCGCCGCTGGTCTAGGCCGTAGTCGGCAAGTCAACCCATAGCCCATGGATTTTTTTTGGTAGTTTTAGATACATTGGTACTCACCCGATTGAGGCATGAATTTCCGGGACAGTTCTGCTGGCTGCTGGAGCCTGGACCCTGGCACTCGAGGCGGGGGTTTCGGTTGAGCACTTCGGGATTGAAGGGGATTCAGTCTGCTCTCGTCAGCGTGCGAGCGAGCGAGCGGTTGTGTGGCTGACAGAGAATGTCCAGAGCTGTCACTGGCTCGAACACTCCTTGCAGACAGTGCAGACAGCATCATGAGTCAGTGTCAGTGTGAGGCAGGTTCCTCTAGCAACGATAGCCTGGTAGTGTAGCGGCAGGTTAAACTGAACCCAGTCATAAAAGAATTAGCACCATAAGATAAGTGATAAGAAGAGTGTTGTGGTGTTAGTCTCCGTCTCAAAGGATGACCTTGTGGAATCGTGGCGTCGTGGTCGTGGAATAGGTCGAACATGGTGCTTGCATGCTGTTCGCGAACCTGAGCATAGAGCAGCACTCAGCAAGCACGAGAGATGGAGCTTCGCGATCAGGCCAGACAACGGCCAGCTGGTGCGGATGCACGTGGTGGGTCGCCGAGGTCCGAGAGCCAAAAGCGACATCAGAGCCATCAACAGTGTCACTGGCAATGTTTTGCATCGAGCTGAGCGAGACAGAACCGAGCTTGCGGATGAGGAGAGACAGAGACGATACTTAGAGGTGATAGACCTGGACTGAAAGTTTGCACACCTCGTCGGATCAGACATACTAGAGCGGGACTGGGTCAGTCCAGTTCTATGATGTCTGAGGCGACAAGTTGTGCCGACCACTTCGGTGATCGACTTAGGCTTTCAGTCCAGGTCTATCACCTCGAAGTATCGAAGGTGATGGACTTGCGACCTTGGTCATGTCCGCTCTTCAAGACCCCTCTCCAAGCAGCTTCAAGACGATGGGGCTACGGGCGCTCCGTGCTCCGGCATGGAACAAAAAGTTCTGCGTTGCATAGTCGGCATAGTCGTCATCAAGCGGCGTCAAGCGACATCAGAGTCCTTGTCAAGTGTCATTGCCATGGTCGTCAGAGTCGGCATGTCAGTGCCTCTGCCAGGCTGTCACGGACGGCTGGCTCCGGCGGTGTCCACTCACGGACGGCTGGTCCGAGGAGGCCTGGAGCTGTGCGTCTGAGTTTTAAAGTCCTGCTTTGTCACGGTCGTTCGTGTGGACAACTGGCTAGATGCCGTGACAAACCACCGGGTGGTTTGTCACGCTCGCTGCTGTGATTGCCACGGACGGCTGCTCGGCCCAAGCCGCGAAGTTCTGCCTTTGCCATCCCAATACAAATTTCATTGTATTAGCTTTAACTAGAGTTAGTGACAAACCACCCGGTGGTTTGTCACGGGCCTGGTCTCGGACGGCTGCTCAGAGGCCGTGACAACTTTCAGGGTTGCCACGGGATTTTCACGGACGGGCACATAACCAAAACAAGCCGATCCCAAACCCCTTCCAAAGCCTCAACAACTTGGGGAGTCAGAGAGCGGATGTGCATGTGCCATGGCTTTGCCTCTTCCCGATCTTTTCGCAGAGGAAGATGACCAGGAGCAGGATGAGCAGGAGGCTGCTTTCACGTATAGGCCAGCTGGCCGGGGAGGCGGAGGACAGCTCCAGAAGCAGTCGCAGGAGATCATCTACAACATGTACAAGGTTCTGTCGCCGCATGTTTCGGAGATCGTGTCAGTGCTGGACCTAGATCCGCGAATGCGTTTGTTTGGTTTGATGAGCAACTTAACTGGTGTGTCGCGCCAATCCCTGGAGCGGGTTTGCAAGCACTTAGACGAGACACGAGGCATCGCTCGTGATCCTGTGAATCAAGGCGGCCGCAAGAAGAGAACAGCTGCCCAGAGCGATCTGCCGGACATCTCTGCCTATATGCCTTCGGCAACAGTTCGTAGTCCATTGCCGTCCCTGGTAGCAGAGGAGTCTGCAGTGCCAGAGTCGGTTCCCGAGGTTCTCATAGAGGACTTGATGGCAGAGCCAGGTGCAGCGGCAGCGGCCTTCGAGGTGGCCGAGGAGGAGGGGGACGCCGAAAACCCGGAGGAGTCGGCGCTTTTTCTTGGCGTCAAGCGAGTGACACCAGGAGTACTTCGCCAGGTTCAAGCTGCTGGCTGCGCTGCGGAGATGCAACCACTGTCAATCCTGGATGAAGACAGCCAGAATCATGTGGTGGGATTGCGGCTATGTTCCCTTGCACTACGTCTAGAAACGAGAGCCTTAGGCGGCCGCGAATTTGAAGACTCTGTGGATTGGATCGATCTTTTTTTTCCCGGGCAGCTAGGCGAATGCCACCACTCAAAACGTTTTATGGAAGAGATACTTGTTTCTGCAAGGCAAACGCTGAAGTATCGGACGTGTGAGGACTTGCAAGTCGTCTTGCCGGCTTTGGGCACGCCTAGTTTTCTGAAAGTGGTCGCAGACGGCTTTACCCCGGCTACCGGGGAACCGCTAGACATACA